TTCCCTAAAATCTCCTCCTCAGTAGGAATGTTCTTCTCCTTAACAGAGTACACTGTAAGTATCCACTGGTAATCAGGCTGCCTGCTTCTCACCACCCTTTATATTTCAGGAAGCATATGGTGGCTGATGCACACTCAGAAATCACACCAGTTTGGATCCAGGGCCTCTGATTACCAACATGAAGCTACAGACAACTTGTGCTTTCTCACTCCTCTGCAGCAATCTCAGTGTTCCTGGGAGGTTCCTCTTATCACTCGATGTGCAGGGAAGTAGAGGCAGGGAGGAAGCTGGTGATTTACTCACTGCCTGGTGGGCAGAACCAAATGGTGAATGTAGGTGGCCTCAGTTTAAGACGTGTGTTTGCTCCCTGAGGCTACCAGTGACCTGGTGCTGCTTTTGTAATACTGATCAGGCCATGATTTTAAATTCCCTTGTTCTGGGCGTCTTCAAAAATGGAGGGTGAGATTTTCCCATGTGTAAGTGTACATCATAGTTCTGATTCTAGGGAGCTTGATGTGAAGAGTACTAATGCAGCCTTCAAGGCCACAGCATTATAATATATATATATATTTATTGTAAAGAAAAGGCATCAGTAGGCCAACAGGAATCTTTCCCTTGTAAAAAAAATATAATATTTTTCTGAATATGGAAGTGATGTGACAACTGTCCTAGAAATTATCATTTGTCTACATATCAGCAATAAGGAAAGAATATTGCTCCATGCAGATAATTTTTTAAAACCTGTTAGAAGCTGTTCATCAGCTCAAAACTACCAGAGGAGTCTAGTGGAAAAGCAACAAGAGAGATTAATGTATTCAGGGTCCCAAAACTAAGCACTTTACATAACACACCTTACATATGTTCAAAAAAAGGTGGCAAAGCAACCCACCAGAAGCATCCCTCCTCCTCCAGCTCTTCACTGCAGACGTCTGCTAGCCCAGCTCCACACACCTCCCATTTTCACAGGTGCAGTGATGCCAGCAGCTATTTTTGCACTTAGCTCAGGGCAGGGCTTCAGCTGGTGGACATCTGTGCCAAACTGCTCCTTTCCTTTGCAGACTCTGCATCCCAGCGTCCTCTAGGAAAAGTGCAGGGAACATCGCCTTCCACCCCTGCCCTCCAGCGACACAGGGAGAGAGGCAAATCTATTCTCTCTCAAGGATGTATGTCCACCTGTGCTGAGCCACTCTGAGATTGTTTATGTGAGGTGGCAGCTCACCCACCTGACTTCTTGGCGGAAAGTGGAGGGGTTGCAGGTTGTATTTGGGCACCGTGGGTCACTAATGGTGAAAGAAGGGAAGTGAGAAGAGTCAAAGCTATCGTTTAGTAAAGGAGGAACAAAGCTAGAAATGCAAGACCTTTCCATGGAAGCTGCAGAGGTGCCTAAATCCAGTGAGTGCTCTTCTGCAAACAGGTCTTTTCTCAAACTGTGGCTCACAGCACTCAAGATGAAACAGGTCCAAAAGGCAGCTCTTAATTGTCTAGGTTAATCAAGGAAGGGCTAACATGCTTAGCCACTGATGGGAAGTAAAGGTAGTTACCCTCTCGTTGGCCAGAGTGGGCATCAATGGGGAGCAGGTGACCACCAAGGGCTGCACATCAGCCAGAAGTTTGAGACCAGCTGCCCTAGAGGAAACAAAATTGGCTGAGGCACCCCTGTTCAGGGTGAGATGGGAAAGGATGGGAATTCCCACCAGCAGTTAGTAGAGAAACTTGTACATCGTCACCCAGACTGAAATGGTGGGTCAGCATTTTCTCCAGGTAGCAGCTATAAAGTGGAACAAAGGGCTCCTTCTACTGGCCCCTTTTGGTTTTTTTGACTATGCTGGAGAGGATGGAAATGATGTTACCTAGAAGGACAGTCTGGCAACTGAAGCTGGCTGCTGCTAGCCCAAAACTCCTTGAGATGTTTCCTTGTGAGGGTCAAGGAAATGAAGGTGGGAGGGTGGTTCAGAACCAACTGACCACTGTGGACCTTACACAAAGTCAGCCAAGCCATTCTCACATTTTGGTTTGTTTGATGACAAAAGAGTTTGGAGTCACTAAACTGAGGTGCAGAACCTGTTGTTCTCAGCTGTCTTGAACGTAAAGCTGGTGACAACATCCATGGTCAATGATAAGTGCAAGTGGCGGCAAAGTTTTGTTATCACTGAAATCTACTTTTCTGTCTTCTAGGACTGTTATCACATATTTGCATGAAACTTGGCTAAAATTCCTCTTTATTGCCTGGATCTAGAGGGATGCTGAAGGAGGAGCTTTGAGAGTCTTTTATAGTCCCTGCTACACAAAGGAGAGGTCCTATCAGGGAACCACTGGCCTTGCCTGTCCCTGCCCAGCACCTCCTGGTGCTCCCTCTATCCTGCCCAAGTCCCAGGACCCCTTCCAGCTCCCCAGGACCATCAATCCCTGCCCCAGAGATGCCACAACATGTCAGTCTCCAGCTCCCCAGAGTCCTGCCTGGCCATGTCCCCACTGCACCAGGGATGTACCCAATGCCCAGGGCTGGGGCTGTGTCTGACCCTGTAGCCCCACTGGGCCTGATCCTGACCCCACCTGCACACTGATGTCCTGGCCTGGCTGGTGTGTGTACAGGAGGGAGCTGAGGTTTGTGACAAATTACAAATGAACAGACAAATTATTTGCATTTTGAACAGGTTTTGTGTGTGTGTGTGTGTGTGTGTGTGTGTGTGTCCTGGAAATGGGATGAATCACCTCTGAACTGTTTTTTTCTGCTAACAAGTTAATACATATATCTGAGCCTCTGGTGGAGGAGGGTGGAAAACCTGAACCAGACAAAAATCAGAGAATCCAAGTAACTGCATTTTTAAGAAATATGCATAAGTGACTTTCAGTTCTCCCCTCTCAAAAATGGAGAAGGGCTTTACATGTTTGGGAAAGGTGTGGCAATGTGAATGAATAAATACAGTGCAGTTAGATAATCATGTGGAAAGCTCATAAGGAAGGGGAGGAAAAGGAGCAACCAGTTCAGCAAGAAACAGATGAACACTGAAACTCTGTAAACTGCTCTTCCTAGGACTTGTAAAGTCATTTATTCTTTGTCACTTAGTGCCAGATTAAGTATCACAAAAGCATATGCAATAAATGGGAAATTATCCTAATATTGCAAAAACTCCTTGTTGTCTTGCAGGCATTAATTTTTGTTTGAATTATTTTTTTTCAGTTAGTAGGCTTATGTTACTGGTTATAATAATATATATACTTTTCATGCTGGCTGGGGAGCTCTTTGAAGAGGCTTGCAGGTCTAGCCCTGAAGTCTGAGCTGGTTCATATCAGTAGCACAGGCAAAAAACACTGTCAGATTTTCTGCCATATATTTATTGCTCTACCAGGTATCTCTGTCCATCCTGACAGAGCATGTACAGACTGAAAGCATGGAATACCATGGAGGTCCTGTTGTTCTTAATAGTCACCTCTTCAAGGGTGAGGCAGCAAAGTCTGGTGTAATTGTGATGGCAAATGCATAAGAGGGAGGATCTCTCCCAGCAAGTATCCTCCATGTCTGCTCTTTTTTTGTGTCTGCATTGCAGGGCAATGTGCACTACTTCTATGTAACCTAATTAAGCTTGATCATGACTAGAGTAATGACCTCTGGTGTATAATCATGCTGCTAATCACACAAGGAATAGCAGTATTGGGAGGAGGAGGGTGAACCACTGTCCTTGTGCATTCACCACTGAATGAGGTGACACCTGGGTTCAGCTCTGCCTTGATTTTCCTCTGCCACTTCTGCACCCTCCCCCTAATATACATGGCTTGACTGCTTGTCTGTGAGATGATCATTAACAGATAGTATCTTTTTAACAATAATGGAAGGGGATAATGGAGTAAACACGTAAGTGGAAAATAAGTACAAGCACTTAAAATAATACCAAAAATAGCTTCAAGCTGCAAAATGATAATTTAACATGTGATGGAGATCAATAGTCTCAAAAGTGGAGTAAGACAAGGAGTACAATTATGTGCTGCAGTGTTGCTCTGGCACACACTTTTTCTCTGGAGATGGTTGGTGGTGCAGTCACTGCTGTTATAGCAGATTTAGACATACAGCTGTATTCCATGTCATTATGTGTATGTAAGGAAAACAGTCTTCAGAATATAAAATTACTGATCGGAGAAAAATATGTTGTTGTGCTGCATTACTACTCTTGCAAAACAAGGGTTGCAGATGAATGGGGGAGATTGTTTTACTGTGAGGTAGAAAGGCTCCTATCCCAGCCCCAGTATTGGCATTGGTAATGTGAGAGTGGGTGAGCATAAAAAATTCAGTTTAGAAACACTGTAACAAGTTTAGTTTTTAAAAGACATCAGGGCTTTTACCAGACCTAGATGGCATGCAGCAGACATACAGTCATCTACCTGATTTCAGGAAACTTCAGGATATGTTAATAATTTCACTATTCAATTCTTTGTGTCCCCTATTACTACTTAAAGCAAACGTCTTACACTAAAGTTCTCTTGCTTTTGTAAAATTCCCAGCAAACATTGCTCTATAAGACACCCTGCTTATAATGCAGCTGATTTTACCATCTTTATTTGCCCTCTGTGTCTCAGGACAAAACTCCTCAGCTAGGAGACCTCAATGATATGGAAGAGTTGAAAAGAAAACATATGGGAGATAAAAATATATTTTCCCAAAGTCCTTTTCACCATAAACATACAATAAAAGGTCAAAGTGCCTATATGAAATTTTAAAGAATGGGACTTTATGAATTAATTGAACATTAATCAAACATGGGGTTGCCCAGAATCTTCAAGAAGTTCATTTGTCTTCCCTGTAGTGGAATTTTTGCATTTCACTAGTGAAGTCGGTCATCTGGTAAGCATGATATGTAAACTGTGCAAGTGCAGTTTATATACATCAGGTACAAATGCAGCAATATGATGGTGCTAAACTGGCTAATGGCCATTAAACTTCAAGGTGAAAAAAGCAGCTCCTGCAAGAGACACAAAAATATGTACAAGGTTTAGGCTCATAAGGGGGTGTGGAGGCTACCACCTTGTGGATAAACAGCTTTGCATCACTGTGCTGCAGCCACAGGTTTTGTGTGCAGAAGCTGCTGTGACTTGATCTGTAAACTGACAAAAGAGCATTGAGCAAAAATTGTGATTTTTCTTCCTAGTTTGGCATCAAAACGTGAAAAAATGGTACTTTCACATTTCTCTGCAGACTCAATCTCTGCCAGGTTTTGTTGTTGGTGTTTTTTGTTGTTTTTTTTTTGTTGGTTTTTTTTCCATGTTATTGAATCATACCAGCAGATTTTACAGAAATAGCACCGCGTGCTTTCTTTAGAGTGTGGTCTTTTTTCTGTGTGCCAAAGACTTATGTGAAGCTCGGTGATTCGACACAAGCCTTTTCATCTTTGCTCTTGGTGTCACAATTTATTCCCTTAACATTTCAGAGCCTTTGCCTACAACAGCGAAGAGCTGCAGAGAAAGTAGCTCATTCTGAGGTAAATAAAGCAGATGCTTTCTATTATTTCCCGAAAAGCCTCCGGAGACTTTGGCTTTGGAAGAAAGGAGAAAAAAATCCCTAACGGAGTGTTTCGCAGTAACCAGAGGTACAAACCTCGGTAAGAGAAGGGGAGGCGCGCCTTGTGGGAATTTGTGCTACCTCGCTCTCTTTGAAAGCATTTTATTTTAAATAAGGAGGTTCCCAGTGTTCGCTTTATTCCCTAATGTGAAAAGGACCCTCTGAAAATTAACGCTGACTTTCCTGTCTCAGGTTAACTTTAAAGGAAATTTTCTAATTTACAAAGAAAAACAAAACTTTCCCTCTGTCAAGCTCCGTTCTGTTCCGGGACTCGGGATTTATTGTCTTCTCTCTCCCCAGACTCCGCTCTTTTCCCGACGAGACACCGACAGGCGAAAGGCGGCACATCCACGGCCTCCCAGGTGCAGAAAAGGGGCAATTTCGTGACAGATAAAGTAGAAAAAAAACACTTTATCCCCCCCGAAGAAACACACACCGGAGCGCGCGGCGCCGGGCGGGGCGGGGCGGGACG